TTTTTTTTGTCTTTTTGAGACAGGGTCTCACTATGCAGTTCAGGCTGGCCTTGAGCTCACTTTGTAGCCCAGGCTGGTCTCAAACTCACAATAAACCTCCTGTTTCAGTCTTCCAAGTGCTAGGATTACAGGTGTGTACCACTATGGTCAGCCAGCTACTTCTTCTTTTTTTTTAATTTATTTATTTTATTTATATGTGTGTGTGTGTGTGTGTGTGTGTGTGGCCAGCTCAGCCCACCAGGGGGCGGTGCTGGCTGGCATGTGGTGCTGGGGGATTGAACCGTAGTCCATGTGTTTTGCTAAGCTTGTTCCAAGTAGGTGCTTTAGACCACTGAGCCATCTCACCAGCCCACAGCCAGCTACTTCTAACCAAATACTTTTCAATGATTTGGGGTTTTGTTTTGTTTGCTTTTAAGAAAATGTCTTGCTATGGAGCCCAAGCTGGCCTCAGCCTCACAGTGATGCTCCTGCCTCAGCCTCCAAAGATTTCAGGGATGTGCTACCACTCCCAGCTCTAATCAAATACTTTTTTTAGGGGGTGGGGGGAGGAACCGGGGATTGAACTCAGGCCCTTGCTTTTGCCAGGCAAGTGCTTATTCTACTGAGCTATCTCCCCAATCAAATACTTCTGAGAGGCAAAATTCTTTGTGATCACATATGTTATACCTTTGAACATTTTTTCAAATTGACAACAATCAGTTTGGCTGGTTGTTCTAATTTTACTGGGCCAAGTACCAAAAGAGAAGATAAATTCAGGTATCCTAGTTTTCAGCCCAAGCACTGAAATGCTTGAGTGAATGGAATGAACGGAATGCTTCACCGTGTCCTGAGAGATCCTCTTCTTCTTTCTAGACTTGCAAAGCTGAGGTGATTACTAAAAACCAAATCTAGAATTTCACCCTGTGAATGGCTGAATTACAATGTAAATGGACTCCTCCCCCTTGCAGTGGGTCTACCGTGAAGGCAAAGATTGTGTTACACTTGGAATTGCGCCTGCCCAAATCTCACGTGTTAATGGTCCACTTCCCAGGTGATTTTGGTGGTACCTGACTCGGTTCACAAACTTAATTCTCACCGCAGTTCTGGTGGCAAACCGAATTGGATGAGTGTTGAATCTAATTCAATGGTTAAATTCAGGGCTCGAGAGATGGCTCAGTGGTCTAAAGCACCTACTTAGAACAAGCTTAGCAAAGCACAAGGACCTTGGTTCAATCCCCCCGCACCACATGCCAGCCAGCCCTGCCCCCTGGTGGGCTGAGCTGGCCACACACATAAATAAAA